ACTGGGTCTTGCACCCACAGCGAGAGCTGCTCTGTTCCTCGGGTCCCGAGGCTCCACTGTCTCAATCATCACCCGTGTCCCGTCTGTCTTCCTAATGGACAATGTTTGGCTCCCATCAGGTCGTTCTATCGTCACCGCATGCACGTGGCTCAGCCACGTTCGACCCAAGAGCAGGTCAGAGCTACAGTTCTTGACTGCAAAGACAGGCAGGGTCACTCCTACCCCTTGGACCTCTATGGCTGCCTTGTGACAAACTCAAGTGATCTGTTGCTTTCTCCCATCAGCCGTCTCTATCTCGAATAGGTATGACCTATCGAGGCCCAGTCCAACTTGTACTGCCAGGTCCTCGTCTATGATGACAGCCTCACTATCGTTATCAATCACAGCATCGACTATCGCTCCATCGTTTATAATCGTCTCTACGGCCCCGCTACCAAGTATATAAAACTTGCCTGGAGGCACACCTTCCATCCCATCGAGAAGGACTGTCGCCATGCGATCCGCTCTGGCAGTCACCCCCATTACCGCTACTGTAGAAGCTTCCGCTTTAGGGGCTCCCTGACCCTCCTCTGATAGAGGTATGCGAGTCTTCCGCGTGATCATCTGTAATTCATCACGAGCCGGCTTCGATGCCGCCAGGTACTCCAGAATAGAGCACTGCATTGGTTGCCGAAGGGCCCGCCTAAGTGGCTCAACCGTGTCAATCTCGTCCAACGAACTCTTCATTAAGAACTTCTTCTCTCCCCTCTATCCTGGCGAAAGGATAACCTCCTATCCATCGACCCGCTGCCCGTCCTTCTCCGTCATCACATAATCCGTGTCAGTCTTCTTCGATGTAGACCCTCTTGCTGACTTGGTGGTTGCCACCCTTATGGGTGTGGTCGCGATATCCCCCTCAAAGATTATCTTGATGCTCTGGCTCTTGACCGGCTCCATTCCTTTACTCGTCTTTATTCTCCTTGCTTCGACGTTCTCCTTCATCGAAGGAAACATTGATACATCTCCCAGATCATCTACCCACTTGACGTACTTGCGGTCGTCAAGTACGACAAGTCCCTCATCTATTGCCTGTTTGAGGTCCGGGCAATCCCTATTGATATGATCTTCTCCTCTACAGTAGACGCATGAGTTCCTGTGAGTAGACGCCCTATCGTCTGCGCCTCTAGACATCGAATTCCTGGCCGCCTTGGGGTCAGGCGACTTTGGATATGGTTCTAATGAGACACCATATCCCCCTCTCTCATTCCGACTGCGCGAATCGTTGCGCCGGTCTCCTCCATACCCTCCTTGCTCATACTGCCCTCGCGAGTCATTCCGGCGGTCCCCCGAGTCATAGCGTCCTCGTAACTCATCGCGTCGGTCCCCTCGGTTGTACCATCCTCGCGTCTCGTCGCGCTGCTCTCTTGCATCTCCCCCGCGCTCAAACCGTCCGCGTGACCCATCTTGTCGTTCCCAGTCCCGATCTCCTCTCTCATATCTACTTCCTCTGTAGCCATCTCAACCCGACCTCTCGTATCTGTCGTCCCTCTCCCATCGGCCGCGGGAGTCGCCTCTACCCCGATCGGCCTCATAGCGAGGGCTTCGGGGGTAATCATCTAGCCTCCTTGCTCGCACAAACAGCTCGCGATCTCTGCGGTCTCGGTCTATCTCATCGTCCCTACGTCGCCATAATTCATCGTCTCGCTCTCTCCCCCTCGTACGATAATCAATCAGCGTCCGAGGATTTCTATCCTCGACACTCCTCCAGGGATCGTTGTTCCTACGGTCCCAGCGAAGTGAATA